AATAGTGACATAGCCCTTAATATCAATAATATCCCTGAATGTCAATGGCCTAAACTCTCCCATCAAAAAGTACAGAATGACAAAGTGGATCAAAAAACAAAATTCAGTCATCAGCTGCTGTCATTCTTTTAGGGTAGTAGAGATAAGGGCCAGGAGGATTACTCCATGGCTGGGAAGCGGCTTTCATGTGCTGGGGGAAAAAGGCAGCTGAGATGGAGAAGAGACCACTAAGTAAATGATGGTTGGAGGGATCGCTCGGGATGGTAGATACATGCTGAAGGTAGACTATGGACCAAACATGATGACCACTTAGTACCTATAAAGCAAACCATAATATCCAAAAGGAGAGATTAAGAGAGGATGTGTCTGCTACAGAGGCAGGGGGTGGGAAGTAGTGGAGATGGCAGGAGGGATACTGGGAACACTGGTAGTGGAGAATGGGCACTGGTGGAGGGATGGGTACTTGAACATTATATGACTGAAACATAATCACGAAAGTTTATAAGTCTGTAACTGTATTTTACGGTGATTCATTTAAAAAAAAATTCAGTGGTTCCAGAGCTGCGTACCCAGCTACCAGACCCTGGGATCCTGAAAAGTCCACTTCTGCGCTGAGGTGCCCTCTGAGCACATGGCCAAAGAGGAACCCCATAAGTCTTAGGAGTGCATCAGGAGTGAACTGCAAGCCCCACGAAGGCACTGAAGCAGCCCACACCCCCCCACACACACTTACTCGGCGCAGTGGGCGTATCCTCCAGGGCACGTGGCCAGTTATTTTTCCCTTTCCCAGCACTTTGGACTCAGATCTCAGCCTTCATTACCTAATTGTGAAGAGGACAATCTGGCTATCCCAAACACATTGCGCCAAAAGTCCACTAATCTATTCCAATAAAAATACTCCTCAAACTCACCAAAATAATGGTGAACACAAGAATCTGAACAAGCCTAATGAACACATCTGCTGAATCTGTACTAGTGGCCCCACATAAGGCACAGAGGCACACCGAAGAGGTAGCATTTTTAAAGAGGGAAAAAGAAGACCATCATCAACAGAGCCTAGCATCGTCCCTTGCAGCAACAGGTGGGTCACTGATAGTGAACTGGAGGGACCCACCTCCATACTACCACAGCAACATTAAGAAACAGCCCAGATCCCCACCACAAGGAGTAGATGAAGAAAAGAGTCAGCCAACTTCAAGGCAAATGTCCAACCTGCCGTGCTATTGCTCCAGCCCTAAGCCTTGTAATTCAATATTTTCCACAAACAGCAAGAGACATGGAGTAGATATACTTGGGGAAAAAACTGACATAGGAGTGATTTGATAAGAGGAAAAGCATACCAATCTATATGCTAAGAGAAATTTTTAAAACTTTGTACTTGAATTCATATGTCATTATTTCAAAGGTTCCACGAAATAATACTTCCTATCTAGCATGGTGGCTGTGTAGATAAAATATCAAATAAAGGACAAAAATTCTATCCAAAATACAACACTGTATGACATTGTTGTTATTGTTTTTATTAAGAAGGGTGAAAGTTGTGACCACACCCAGCAGTGCTCAGGGCTTACTCCTGGCCCAGTGCTCAGAAATCACTTCTGTGAGCTTGGGGGGGACCATAAAACTATAACTGCATTTAGACTAGTGACTTCAGAAGAACTGCTGCCATTATAGGTAAATAAAGATGACAATAAAGCATTATGTCACCAGTTCATACACTTCAGTCAAATTCTTTTTATTTGTGAATGTGGGGGGAGGGGCACTTTGGGCCATACTCAGTGCTTCTCGGGAGTTACTCCTGGCTATGTGCTCTGGAATCACTCCTGGCAGGTTCTGGGGACCATATGGGGTGATCAAATCTGCACTGGCCACGATTAAGACAGATACCCTAGCCACAGCACTATCACTCCAGCCCCCTTCAGTCTTCCAATTTCTGCTCTGCATTTTACTTTAGTGATAGCACAGCGGGCAGGGCATTTGCCTTGCACATGGCTGACCCGGGTTTGATTCCTCTGTCCCTCTCTGAGCCAGGCAAGCTACCAAAAGTATCCTGCCAGCATGGCAGAGCCTGGCAAGCTACCTGTGACGTATTCGATATGCCAACGACAGTAAAAACAAGTCTCACAATGGAGACGTTACTGGTGCCCGCTCAAGCAAATCAATGAACAATGGGAGGACAGTGCCACAGTGCTATAATATTCCTATCAATTTGATAATTAATTCCTAAAAAATAAAATATGCAGAATTTGGAAACAGAAAAGGGAGAGGGAAAATCTTAAAACTACTTTTTTGTTTTCAAAATGACTATAACATTCTTTTTAGGGAGCTACACCTATTCCCAGGCTGGAGCAATTGCACAGTGGATAGGGCGTTTGCCTTGCATGCGGCCGACATGGGTTCAATTCTTCCGGCCCTCTCAGAGAGCCTGGCAAGCTACTGAGAATATCCCGCCCACACGGCAAAGTCTGGCAAGCTCCCCATGGTGTATTCGATATGACAAAAACTGTAACAAGTTTCACAATGGAGACATTACTGGTGCCTACGTGAGCAAATCGATGAACAACAGGACAACAGTGCTACAGTGCTACACCTATTCCCAATGGTGCTCAGCAAACCATATATGACGCCAGGGATGAAACCAGTGTTGGTTGCAGTAAAACAAGTGCATTAACCATGTCCTATCTCTCAGGTCCCCAAATCACCATAACTTTGAACAAAACCTTATAGAGCAATTATTATTTGCTATCTTTATGACTTTCAAGGGATTTATCTCATTTTCTTTGAGGAGGGGGAGGAGGTTGCCAGTGCCAGGAATCTAACCAAGGTCAGCTGTGTACATGGCAAACATCTTAACTGTTGTATCATCTCTCCAACCCCAGTATTTAAAATTTTATTTGCCAATAAGTAAAACCACAGTGCCCTAGCCAAGAAATAATAATTTATTTTTGTATTTATTTTGGGGGAGATGGAGACACAGCCAGAAGTTCTTGGGGCTTACTCCTTGCTCTGTGCTCAGGGATCACTCCTGGCAGCCAGCAGAACATCTGTGGTGTTGAGAATTGAACCCTAGTCGGAAACGTGCAAGGCAAGATACTACCCACTGTAGTATCTCTCCAGCGCTAAAATTTTCTTTAGGCCATCAGTCCTTGCTAGTAATATCATCATGTTTTAGGGTCAAACTTATGTGCGTGAAGAGTCAATAAATGAAAACAGAGATACAGTCCTAGTTACAGGTTAAATACAAATAGTTATCTATGAAGTGATATAGCAGAGTGGGTAGGGCGTTTTCCTTGCATGCAGTTCACCCAGGCTTGATTCCCAGCATCCCAAGTGTTTCCCCCTGAGCACTGCCCCTAAACATCACTGGCTGTGACCAAAAGACAAACATTTTGTTTAAAAAAAAGTAATATAAAAACTGTCTCATAGACACTATGGTGGTGGGTGTGGTACTGGAATGATACATTCATGAAAAAATAACAGTGTTGTAAGTCCTGGAACCTCAGTAAGACTGGTAAAAAAATAAATACCTGCTTTGTATTAAATAATCTTACTAACAAACAACGCTCCTTACCTGATTGGTAACCCTCCTTATCTGATCCGTAACCCACTTTTTCAAGATCAACTAAATCAACTATGAGGAATAATTAGAGTAGAAGTATTAAAAAATAATGCAACAAACATTTTTCTGTTATGTCAGTTAAGTTTTTCTACCAGTCATATTCATTTAATATGGAACTAGCAAGGATTCTTATGATGATTCTTAAATAATGATTTTATTTTGCTCTTAATTTCCAACACTTTTAAAAGACATAAAACATAATATAAAGACACGTGTTAAAGCATTGGTGTGTAATAAAACAACTCATAACAATTAAAGTTTATAAAGCCCTTTCACATTTCATTTATTTCATTTAGTCCCCATAAAGTGCTAATACCCTAAGAAATAGACCATATTTCCATACTGAAAACATATTCTCAATTTTCCTAAGTCCAATGAGTATACATAATGAGCCTCAAAGAGGAATTTTTTTAAATACTAGGTATGATAAATCCTCTAGATTTTTCATTCCAAAATTATATTTTGATTCAGCTAGGTTTTTCCTGTAACTATTCTATAAGACGTATTCGATATGCCAAACACAGTAACAACAAAGTCTCCAATGGAGACGTTACTGGGCCCGCTCGAGCAAATTGATGATCAACGGGAGGGCCTTTACCTTTATTCTATAAGAAGACTAATTTTATTAACAAAAAGATGTGAATGTTCCAGAACAGTAATAACCATTACTATTACTAATTATTACTAGTAATAACAGTATTACTATCAGGATCAGTTTAAATGCATATCTTTTATTTTTAATATTTGAAAACTGCTTAAAAGTATAATGAAAAACATAACTAATATATGGAGTCCCAACATTCAAAATAAAATCTGCTAATAATTTGGTATATTTAACTTTTCTTCTAACCCCTCTATAAAACATTTAGTAAGTTTTAAATGTATATAAAATAAAACGTATACTATAAATGTATAAAATGTACATAAATATAAAAAGTTTTATATCAATTAAAGTATTATTTTTAAGAAGCTTACTTTATATTTAAGTGGATATACATTTTAAAGGGGAGCAGAGAAATAGTACAGGAAGTAACGCACTTGTCTACATGCTGCCAAGCCTGGTCTAAATCCCAAACAACACATATGATCCCCTTAGCCCCAACAAGAGTGATCCCCTAAGCAAAGAATCAAAAGTAACCCCTGAAAACCATATGGTGTCGCCTCAACCGCCAAATAAAATTTTAATAAAGAATAAAAATAATGATAAATTTGATAAAATTGTTACTCTATCAAAACTATTTTTTATACATTTTAAAATTTTATTCACAGAGTCAAGGAAGTAAAAGGACAAAGTAAAATGTTTAATGAATATTTATTAAACTACCATGTGCAAAGTGACAGGAACAAAAGATGATGTATTTTAAGATGTCTGGATTCCTACCTGTTCAATTTCTTTGGTTTTTGATGCTATTGCTTTAGAGCGACTGGAGAGTTGACTGTCCTCAAATAACTCTATGCCATCCGCTGGATTTGAGTCAGGTTCTTCTGGTTGATCAACAAACAATGGTGCTGTGGATCCTGCCTTTAAAAAAAAAATTTAGAAATCATACATTGCTTTCCAACAGAATACATAGCATATTATATGACTATGTACAGAAACCCACTAATCTGGCATGATTCATCAAGAAAAGTACTACATACAAGCTATCTTAGAGGGGGGGAAATGCTTTTATTTTTATTATGCATAAAGACCATAAAGTTTGGGCAACATAAGCCTTCAGGTCTTTTCCATTTCAAAATTATATTTAACCCTAGATTAAGATGTTGCTGGAACGTTATGTTCCATAACTATTCTTTACACTATCTGTAAAAAACACTGAGAAAAAATTCTGTTGGAAGTGAGATGGGCATACCCATATTAAGTATTATTAAGGGACTAGAAAGGGGCTGTACATTCAGAAGTTAAAAATATTTTGTCCCTGATGCCTCAGAATGGTTTTGAAACTACTGAAAATAACTTCCCAAAGCAATCACAATCACTTTTATTTTAGAACAACAGTTCATAAATGATAATTTTTTTTAAATCCCATAGAAACCCAGCTGATCACTAGTTTCTAAAAGTACTTCTGATAGGGGCCATTAAGTAGTTTAGCAAGAAAAGGACTTGCCTTGCAGGCACCTGACTCAGGTTTAACCCCCAGCAACACATGTGGTTCCCTGATGATCCCTGCACACAGAGCAAGTAGAACACAAGCACAGCTGAATGTTGCCCTAAGCCCGGTCCCCCATAAATAAATAAAATAATATTCCAATGAAAAGACAAAAAATTGCTGAAAGAAAGTAATTACTTAAACTATGCTCACTTATTCAAAAATCTAAGGTACAGGTACAGCTCTAAGGCAAAAGTGGCTGCCTTCAAGATAGAGACTTTGAGGATGAGCCCAGACTCAGGCCTGAATGTGAGCTCATGGCTCTGCTGTTTGGGAACACCAGGCCACAACCAAGTGTGGGATGTCAATGCACCTCAGCCAATGTGCACATCCATATCTAAGGGTGCAATCCCGTCCCTCGCCTCCCACCAGGTGGTGCAGTGCACAAGACAATGACCACATAGGTGTGACCTCTGGTGATTCACAGCTGTCACTGTCCCTGTCCTCCCGTTGTTCATCAATTTGCTTGAGCGGGCCCAGTAACGTCTCCATGGTGAGACCTGTTGTTACTGTGTTTGGCATATGGAATACATCACGGGTAGCTTGCCAGGCTTTGCCGTGAAGGCGAGATACTCTCGGTAGCTTGCTGGGCTCTCCGAGAGGGGTGGAGGAATCGAACTCGGGTCGGCCATATTGGCTGCATGCAAGGCAAACACCCTGCCACAGCAACAGTGATAAAAGGGAAGGGAGCAAAAGGAAGATTTCCATATGAACTGAACTGTCAAGCAGTGCTTGAGGAATGATGGGGGCGTCATTGAACAGAAGTTCTGGCCTTCATTTAGCTTGAAGCAAGCAATGACTTAGAAAGAGTTAACGGTGAAATTTGAGATCATACATTTTATTGTTGCACACTTTAGGCAGACAGCAAATTAAAGAGAAATTAAAACTTTGCATGTATTAAACATTTATCAAAAAAGTTAGGGTTTTGTAATTGAAATAACGGCAAACAAACTAGAAGTAATTTTTTACTAGTAAAATTAGTAGTACTGGAACACCTATGCCAGAAATATATATTATCAACAGTGGTCGGAGGCACAGTAATCAGAGTTGTCTTCCTCTCTGTACCACTGTGATCAGAAGCAGCTATCAGTGTTCAGAGCACACAGACCTCTGATATGTGCGGGACAAAGTTCTTTTTGTCCAAACTGACTCTCCCACAAGTGTGTGCTGGCTGCTCCACGAACATGCACACATATGTTCACCCACAATCACTCAATTTAACCTAACACATGTATCAGCAACATATATAACACATAATAACAAATGATTTTTAAAAAATCTAAATATCATCATTAGAAGACTGCTTAAATTCTACATAATAATCTAGAGCCAGGAAATATTAAGAAATCATTTAAAAGAATAGGACAGATTACAGATGCTATATATCCTAGTTTTCTTCTAATTAAGGTCATTCCCTAATTTAAAAAAAACTGCCAATTTTGTGAAAAAGAAGTGAAAAGGGAAAAATGAATGAAATATGTTTATCTTTATGTGTATGTCTAGACTATGTTAATAGAATTCCTATTAAGGATAAGATCATAAAAGAAGTAGCCCTTGCTCTTACAAGGGTAATAACTTAAAAGGACTAGAATGAAGACCAAAAGTTCCTTAATACCTATTTCCTTTTCAAGAAAGGGGGGGGGGGGGGGGGCTGGAGCAATAGCACAGCAGGTAGGGAATTTGCCTTGCATGTGGCCGACCCAGGTTCAATTCCCAGCATCCCATATGGTCCCCTGAGCACCGCCATGGTTAATTCCTGAGTGCAGAGCCAGGAGTAAACCCTGTGCATTTGCCAGGTGTGACCCAAAAAACCAAAATAAATAAATTAATTAAATAATTAAATAAAATAAAAACAAAGAAAGGAGGGAAGGGGGGGATCTCAGTGCTCACCCCCACCCCTCACCACCCCCCAGAAAATCCAACTTCTTTAAACACAGAGAAACTGTTCCCAAGGTTCCTAGTGTCTCCCTGAAACATTCAGTGCCTTGACAATTGGGGGGAGAGGGAGGAGTTGTTTGTGCAGTACTGTCCAACTTCGGAAAGACTGATGGAGACGTTATAATTTGTTACCATTTGAATTTCAGGCATGTATATGTATAATTTTCTTTTTGAAAAAATCTGGCCTTCAGCCGGGTATCCTAGAGGAAAGGGCTGTTCAGATAGAGAAGGGAGCACCAAATAAAGGATGTTTGGAGGATCCTCCCAGGAGGGGAGATGCATGTGGAAAGTAGACTATGGACTGAACATGTTTGCCACTCAATGCCTCTTTTGCAGACCACAACACCCAAAAGGAGAGAGAGAACACAGGGGATTGCCCTGCCACAGAGACAGGGGGGATGGGGGGATGGGGGTGGGAGGGATATTATCCATGGTGGCGGAAAATGGGCACTGGTGGAGGGATGGGTATCTGATCATTGTATAATTGAAACCAAAGCACAAAAAATTGTAAATCTACAACTTTAAAATAAATAAAATAAAATAAAGGGGAAAAAAAAAAGAAAAAAAAAAAAGAAAAAGAAAAAAAAAGAAAAAATCTGGCCTTTTACAAATCTGAGTTATGTAATTTGAGGGATTTAAACTGAAAAATGAGTTATTTAAGGAGGGGCATCTAAATAACAATTAAACTGGCAGATACTGGGGTGATATATCTTCTAACTCTGAACTCTGCTGAAGGCTTTCAACCCCCAAAGAAAAATATGGACAGCACCGTGTCCTTCACCTCTAGTCATCTGGCAGGCAGCTGTGCATGTTCCTGGAGCCGCCAGCACATACTTGTGGGAGAGTCAGTCTGGACAAAAAGGACTTTGTCCTGCACATATCAGAGGTTTGTGTGCCCTGAACACTGATAGCTGCTTCTGATCGCACTGGTGCAGAGAGGAAGACAACTCTGATTACTGTGCCTCCCGCCATCACCATCTTTGCAAACTCCTTGTACTCTGGCTAAGGGAACTTCCAGGGATTTAAAGGGCCAGATTTCATATCATCCCCTTCATTTTTCATATTTTTCCCATTTAAGACAAGAACCCTAGCTACTGTATTATCTCTCACCTACTATACCATGTTTAAAGTGTTTCACATTTAAAATAAAAACTGAAATGAAAAATTCACTAAAAAGATCCAAAAGCAAAATTTTAGCAGGCAAAGAAATAGCTTGTGAACTTAGAATAAGACATTTTTTTCCAAGGCTTAGAAACAGGAGGAAAACTGAATAAAAGAGAATAGAGTCCACGGGACCTGTGGGATAATACCAAAGGAACCAACATAAAAGTTGTGAATGTCCTAAAAGGGACTGGAGCGATAGCACAGAGAGTAGGGCGTTTGCCTTGCACGCGGCCGACCCAAGTTCGATTCCTCCGCCCCTATCTGAGAACCCAGCAAGCTACCAAGACTAACGTGCCCTCACAGCAAAGCCTGGCAAGCTACCCATGATGTATTCGATATGCCAAACACAGTAACAATAAGTCTCACAATGGAGACGTTACTGGGCCCGATAGAGCAAATCGATGAACAATGGGAGGACAGTGCTACAATGCTACAGTCATAAAAGGAGAGAGAGAAAAAGGTACAGAGACTGTATTAAAAAATAATGGGTTGGAGTTACTCAGAGAACTGAGTGAACGCTTTTAAAGATGGGGAAACTGCACAGCACCACAAACATTATACTGGGAGAAGGACCAAAAGGGGGAGGGGTGGAAGTAGAGAGAAAAAGAGAAATACAAAACTTTCACAACTTTATGAAATGCGGAATATAAACATACAAAAATTCAACTGGTGCCAAGAAGATGAAATCAGCGATTCCCTCTGAGACATGCTGTAAGGATAGGGCACAGAGCCAGCGGGGTTTGGTACCGAGAACCTCATGCTCCCCAGAGCAGAACAGAGAGCAAATCCTAAGCGGCACGGCAGAACAGTCCCTAAGCATCACTAATACATTGCCTTCCCCCACAAAAAGTTTAAGTCAAAAAAGTGTATTTTTAGCAATCAGAGGGTTCCACATCCTGCCAACACCGCCACAGAAGCTCATCTTTCAGCCTTGTTCCAGACTCAAATAAATCTTAAGAGATCAACAAACTGCAAAAATTTCTCAGACACCAGTTCATAGCTGAAACCTCCAGGGTGATCGGGAGGAGGACAGGCCAGCAGCCGCTCCAACACCTCAGAGCCGGGCCCTGTCTCTGGCTGGGCTGCCCACTTCACTAGTCAGGATTTTCCATAGCAAGGGGCTACATTCACAGGAACAGGACATCTTCGAACTCTCTGACACGGACTTCTGCCAGGAGCACACCAGATTAGATGGAATCTAATACAAAACAAGAACAGTACCACAGAAAGCTTAGCTTGCAAAAATAGTTTAGTATGGGAGTATGGTGCC